AAGTGCTGCTGGTGCTTCCTCTCACACAGTTCCATCTCCATACACAACCACCTATACTGGTTCAGATGGTCAACCAGCTACTGGTATTGTCAGTTACTTCCCAAGTACTAACTCTGATGGTTCATTTGCTACCGGTGTCACTACTATTCCATTGACAAGTGCTGCTGGTGCTTCCTCTCACACAGTTCCATCTCCATACACAACCACCTATACTGGTTCAGATGGTCAACCAGCTACTGGTATTGTCAGTTACTTCCCGAGTACTAACTCTGATGGTTCATTTGCTACCGGTGTCACTACTATTCCATTGACTTCAAGTGCAGCTGGTGTTTCTAGTTCATCAACTTTGTGTCCTACATGTACTTCAGGTGCTCAAACTGTCCCATCTCCATACACAACCACTTATACTGGTTCAGATGGTCAACCAGCTACTGGTATTGTCAGTTACTTCCCAAGTACTAACTCTGATGGTTCATTTGTTACCGGTGTCACTACTATTCCATTGACAAGTGCTGCTGGTGCTTCCTCTCACACAGTTCCATCTCCATACACAACCACCTATACTGGCTCAGATGGTCAACCAGCTACTGGTATTGTTAGTTTCTTCCCAAGTACTAACTCTGATGGTTCATTCGCTACTGGTGTCACTACTATTGCAGTAACTTCCTCTATTTCAAAGTCTGCTATAGATACAGGCAACACTGCTCGCCCAAGTAGTGCAGGTCCAGCTTCTACTAATGGTAGTGGTGTAACTACCTCTGGTGGTGCTAGTGTTTACCCAAGTACTGATGGTCATGGATCAGGTGCTACAGGATCACCTGTTACATTCACAAATTCTGCAGGTGAAGCTTTGACTGGTCATACAAGTGTTCAATCTGTTACTGGAAATGATGGTTCAATGTCTTCTCACACTGTCGTTGTCGTTCCAGGCTCTTCATCATCTGGTATTTTCACTACAACTGGCTCAAATGGTGACATTGTTACTACTTCTGGAGCTTACTCTGTGGGTGGTACCACTGTTAGTTACTCAAAGGGTGCTGTTCAAGGTTCAACAAGTCCTGAAGGTAGTCTACCAACTGGAGCAGGTGGTAACCAAGGGTCTGCCGCTGCTAGTTATTCCAAGGCTGCTATTACAGGTACAGCTTCAGTCACAGGAGGTGTTGATGCCACTGGTGCAGCTGTTGGAACCAATTCTTTAAGAAAATCACAAATAAGTGGCGGTGTTACAGCTACTTCAGGTTTTGCTGGTGGTAATACATTATCAACCTCATCTATTTCAGCTGGTGCTACTTCAGCCGTTGCTGGTGTTTCAACTTATGAAGGTGGTGCTTCATCCAACTTACAATCAAAAGGGTTATTCTTGTCTTTACTCTCTCTGGTTCTTTTCTTTGCTTTTTGATCTAACTTGTGAATCTGATGACGCTTTCGTTTTTTTGATTTCATTTTTTACTATTCGTTATTCATTACTGGTTAATATTCGTCTGTTTTTTGTCGTGTTCTTTTCATGTTCCATTTCTTTCATTTCCAGGGGTATTCATCAAAACTGTGTTTGCTTTCAAATATAAGTTGAATCTTCTGATGAGTTTATAAATATATTTTATTTGGTTTGTTTATTAGTAAAGCGGTTTTAATCTATTAGATATATATTATGGTGTTATACTAGCTTACTTGTAGTTGTTCATGGAATATCATCTTGAATATGCTCGAAACCCTTAAAATGAGTGGAACAGCTTGGTATTATTGTGATGTATTAGTTTGATTGTAGGTAATTGTATCATGAACAGCTAGATATTGTGCGAGCTACTTTTCAATGTCCAAAGCTTTTATACTTTCCACTAGTATTAATTGCACAAAGCATTATGAACAGCTGCTCAACTTTTGACTAGCTCGCAAGTGTGGTTGCGTGATTTCTCTATATAGTAACAGCTAGGGATTGATTGGCGTGTGAGGTGCACAGGTTCCAATGTCTAGGGTCTAGAATATTCAGTCTTTTTCTTCTGCTACGCTATAGTCGTTACTTGTATTTGACGCTACTTGTCAGTCGCGAACTTTGTCTTTGATTACAGGCGCTTTTACAAACAGGCTCACCATTAAATGCACATAGAGAATAAGCAGAGAAGCCAGCGATCTCTAACTCAGTTATACAGCAGATAGATTGAAAGGTCATAGAACATAGAACATATTGGACAAGCTACTCGTAGTAGAGCAATTTCCAACAAACATAGAGTCGGAGTGGCTGAAAACACGTGATAGATAGTCTCGGATTTTACTCTTTTCAGAAAGCTAAGGCAAAATTGTGGATGAAGATTTCTCGAAAGCAGCTAACGTCGATCGATAACAGCGAGTTGAAACTTTTTGATTCTTGAGATAAACCATACGTTCAAACATCGTTTACTTTAGATCATTTGAAATCAATCAGATAATTTGAAAATGAGTGGTATCGGTGCACAAGCGATTGATTACATTAACAAACTGTGAGTATTGAAAGACGTTGTTTTAATTAGATAGGATGGGGTCCTTATTGTTATGATGAACAAAAAGACTCCAATCTTCTTGACTTTATCAATGAAATCTTACTGACTTTCTTCTCAAGTCAATCTCACTATTATAGTACAGATTATGAAAAACTTGTTGAGCTTGGTTTCCTTGGTCGTGTGAAACTTTATGATTGGCATCTTGAATTTGCAGCTTTGGGTATAATCGCTGTATTGGTTTTATTTTATCAATTGGGTTCATTTCAAAACAAATCAATTGTTGATACTTGGATTAAAGGTGTTAGACCTGTTTTGGATGAAAACTTTTATCAAGTTGGTGTTAAGGAAGATCAATTGTTGATTAAAGATGGTGCTCAACTTTACACCACTTATGCTTCTGGTAGAATTAATATTAGTGGATTGTTGATTAATTTTGGTTTAATTTCAAGACAAAACTATTTTGTTTATGTTTTCGAAAGTCTTTTATCTAATTTCTTCGAAAGTGTCAAACCTCAACAAGATATTGTTGAAATCAAAATCAAACCATTCCCTAATGAAAGGATCAACAATTTTATCTTTGCTGTTGTTAATAAAGATGGTATGAACGAAACTAGAAATGACAATTATTATCTTTCATTAACAAAAACTTCTGAATCAACTTCATTACCAAGAGAATTTGTCTTTATGAGTGAATCCAACGAATTGAATGAATCTTTATTAACCGAAGAATTTAAAACTGTTTTATCTAAAGCTGGTAAAGTTTTGAAATATTTTGCCATTACTGATTTACCTCAAACTAAACCAGTTAGTGAATCTGAATATAAATCAGCCCCACATTTGGTTTTAAAATTAAGTTTGAAAACTGATAGACAATCTGTTGAAACTTCAAAAGCTTTAATCGAACAATTGATCAAGTTTTCAGATTTGATTACCAAGCTCCAATTGAAACATGATTCTGCTAAAAAAATTAATGGTGTTAGAAACACTGAATTGGCCAAAATTAAAAAAGCCATTGAAGAACAAAAATTGGAAGAATTGAAAGAACAAAAATTGGAACAGGAAAGAAATGCCAGAAGAGATTTAGCTAAATTATCACCAGAAGAACAAGCTAAATTTGATAAAAAGCAAAGAGAGAAGAGAGAACGTAGACAAAGAAACAGACAAAAACAAAGAATGTGAATTCTCTACCTGTTTCCAGTTTGTATTATATAAAGCAAACATTCATTTCAATAAATATAATCGAGTAAGATTGTCAAACTATTATAAAGATGTAATTCACTTCTTTTCATCGACATACTTAGTTGGATCCCAAGTTAAAACTTCGTAACTATTAGGTTTATCCAATAGTTTATAATCTTCATCATCTAATTTTGGAACTTTATCTAAAACTGTGAAGTTTTCCACGATTCTATCAACATTGACAGTTTTAGCTAATGGAATGAAACCTTGGTCATAAGACCATCTTAACAAGATTTGAGCAGGAGTAAAACCATACTTCTTTGCAATTGAAACCAACTCAGGGTCATCCAATTTTTTAGCTTGAGTTAATGGTGAGTAAGCTTCTAGATAATAATCATACTTCTTACCATATTCTTGTAAGTCCTTTCTTGGTAACCAAGGATGTAATTCCAATTGATTAACAACAGGCTTGTATTTCAAACCTTCCCAAGCATATAATTCATCTAAATGAGGTGTACCATAGTTTGAAACTCCAATTGACTTAACCTTCCCAGAATCAATTGCTTCTTGTAAAGCTTTCCAAGTTCCTAATCTTTTCTCTTTATCAGACATTGGAGAATGGATTAAAAACAAATCGATATAATCAATATATGGAGAGACTTTCTTCAAGGATTCTTGAATAACTCTAGTACTTTCTTCATAACCATGGAATCCATTTTTAATCTTTGTTGTAAAGAAGACATCTGATCTTTTGACACTTGGATTCTCTTTCAAGAATTGAGCAATCCCCTTAGCACCTTCTTCTTCATTGTTATAGCCTTGAGCAGAGTCAATATGTCTATAACCAACTTTCAAAGCTTGGTAAGTAATATCAGTTGCTTGGCCTGGTGGTGTTTGATATAAACCAAAACCTGATACTGGAATCTTTTCACCATTGTTTAAAGTGTATAATGAATCTTTTTGAATTGAACTAGACATTGTTGCTATTGATTTGAAGAAAGTCAATTGAGGTTTTCTGGATAGAATTGAGTTTGTATAAATGTGAAATCTTGAGAATTGAAAGCTTAAAGTTTTGAAGAGCATAGATTACCTTATATAGCTTGAGTGTTTTCGAAAGAAGTGGCTGTTGTATATAATTGTGTGGATCAAATTGTGTGATTTTGTTTGTGGTGAATTGGCCGACAATAGCCGATGCGGTACATATTGTTTTCGCGAACAAAAGTGTTCATGATAAGGTCAAATTTCACAAACTTTGAAACAATTGTTTCACAGTTAAAGCACAATAAAATCACTTGGAAATTATTCTATACGCTTTTCCATCTCCTATTTCAAAGACTTCAAGTGTTCCTTCACCAATTAACCAATGTAATATCCAATTCAAATTCAATCCTTTGAAATCTTTAAACTTGAGTTTATTCTTTTCCCATTTTTCATAAAGATCATTATGTTTAATCTCTCTCCATTTATTTGTGTTTATAGTTTTCACTATGAATTTCCTGGAAGTTTGATATAGATTAATAATATATCCATATTTCGGTATAGAAATTTTCAAAAGAGTCTTTGTGGTGCTTTGTGGAATGATTTGAAGGAAGCCTAGTTTGATTAAAATAGATACTGATTCATCTCCCAGCGTTTTTATGATTAGATCTTTGGGTATTTTCAAAGATTTGGGGTTTTCATCTAGGTAATTAATAAAATTTTCAATTGAAGTTTGAACGTTAATGTCATTTGATTTCTTTGAATGTTCATTTAACACGGCTCTATAATCTTCATTTTTCATTATAAGGTCATTAAGGTCATCATTGTCCTGCAACAGAATTCTTTTTATCCTTTGATCTTCAAAAAGTTGATCAATTTCTTGATCAATAAATGTTTGATTATTAGGGAAAATAGAATATAATTGATATCTTGAAACTAATTTGGGTAAGAAATCTCTATACTTTTGAATATGAGCTTGGAAATCAGGATTCAATTGAGACGGTACCAGATTCCATTGTCTTGATAATACCTTATCTATAGCATCTAATAGTGTTTTTGGATCAATATCGTCATCTGTGGAATTAGTATCATAAGCACGAACTAGAAAATATAGATCTCATACCTAATCTGATATTGTTTTGTGAGATTGGCTGCAGTTTCTCAACTTCTTTTGGAGTTCTTGTCTTCTTGGGTAGATCTTTTTTCAAGATTGATGGCTTTTTGGGATTATATCTCAAAGACATTATGATGTTTGAACGATGAGAAATGATCCAATTAGGCAGCAAAAGAAGGCCAGTAACGCTTCAAAAAGAACTGATGCACTTTCAAACACCCTGGCGCTCCTCTGAATTCTAAAACTAGGGTTTGTATGCTTCTATTTATCACTTAAACCAACTTATAGTCAAAACGACTCCAAAATGACAAATTCAGCTAGTATTCGCGGATTTCTTGACTTCCTATTTGGGATATAAACCGTCTCTGGCCACATTAACCCGCAGCACTAAGAAGTTGTGTTAAATGTATAGAGAGTGGCACAAAACTGTATGTATAACCTCAATGGCCTTTATATACACTCATTTTCTTTCAAATCCTCTTGTCTCCCTTGAAATACTCTCTTTTCGGGTATAGGCGTCCTGCTCACTTGACACATTAATTAGTTGGGAGATCGCATGGACAAACAAGACAACATATAAACCAATCGTGGACTCAACCAATTAACAATCGATATTCATTTCCCAAACACTTAATCGATTTTTCTTCTTTCAGGCCAAAATCCCACCTCTTCAGAACATTGTTCCGATTCGTTAATTGTCGCTTTGTGTGTTTTTTAGTCCTCGGCCTTTATTTGATTTAGTCAATTTTCATTTCTCCACAAGTTTGTTGAAATGAGTATAAAAACCCATCTCAACGTAGCTCAATTTACATAGATGTCGATTCAACGTATTCACAAACCACAATATGGCTGAAGGTAAAGACATCCTATACGAAGTTAGAGACAAATTCGCAATCATCACCCTTAACCTTCCAAAGGGGTTGAATGCCTTAAACAATGATCAATACTTGTTACTAGGTATTCTTGTCGAAAGGGCAGATAGGGATCCAAATACCGTTTTCACATTCATTAGATCAACTGGTCGTTATTTCAGCGCTGGTGCAAACGTTAAAGATGTTAATCTAGTTATTGAAGAGAATAAGTCAGAATTGGAAGATAAAAACTATTGGTTATCTAGATTCACCGCAAGAAATGCTTACCTTACTACAATTTTCCATGATCATTCAAAAGTTTTAATTGCCGCTTTAAATGGTCCTGTTGTTGGTTTAAGTTCTGCTTTGGTTTTGCTGTGTGATTTCGTTTATGCCATCAATGATGATGTTTTCTTATTGACACCTTTTGCCAACTTGGGATTGGTTAGTGAAGGTGCTGCAGCTGCAACTTTGGTTCAAAGACTAGGTTTAAGTACTGCTAATGAAGCTTTATTGTTATCTAGACCAATTGGGGCAAAAAAAATGTATGAACGTGGGTTGATTAACAAGATTTATAACTTGAAAGATACAAGCAAGTTTAATGATTTGGTTTTGGAGGAATTTTGGTCAAACTCTAAAAATTTGGAATTTTCAAGTATCCTTGATATCAAGAAATTGATCAAAGCAAATTATTTACAAGATTTACAAAGTACAAATGCTAAAGAAGTTATCGGTGGGATGCAAAAATGGGTTCAAAATATTCCACAAAAAAAATTCAAAAGTATTGCTAAAAAGCAAATGAAGCACAAGATGTAGAATGCAAAAATGAATTATGCAGCTATGTATATTTTGTGAATAAATAATGATTTTATGTGTCTTTTTTCTCTATTTCAAAAGGGTTTGGTCATGATCTTCTTGATGTTCATCTTCAATAGATTCCTCTGGCTTGATGGTATGTAGTATAACTTCAGTTGGTTGTTCTTCTTTATTAATCCGTTTACTGATTGAAACACCACCAATAATAGAAAAGACCAAGACAAGAATTGCAAATAACCCACTTCTTGTTGTTTGCCATCTTAAACTTTCAATATCAGATTTAATATCACTATTAATATTCGTACTAATCTTATTATCTAAATCTTTAATCTTCATCTTGATACCCTTTTGCATCAATGTATTTTCACTATTTTGATCATTGATTAAAACTTGTGTATCATTTTTACTAACAATCATAAACTTGTTCAATTCTTCACTTTCTTCTCTTAATAATAAATCCAGCGAATTTTTTTCATTTTCTAAAGTATGTAGATCTAATTCTCTTGATGTATTAATTTCAATCCTTAGTTCAGATTGTGCAGCCTCAAATAAATAAGATTCATTCTCCATCTCCATTGATGTTGTAAATTTTTCATTCATTTTATTCAACTGATGTGTTAAATTCTCATTTATCAACTGTAATATCAAATCACTCTGTCCATTATTAAATCCCAGTTTCTTTAATTGGTTATAAATATGCATAGTATCAACATAATTTTTAATTAATTCACCATCTATTGCACCTGATCCTAATTCAACAGGTATTGGCACATCTAAAACTGATTCACCATCTTCTAATTTGACTTTGCCACTTTCCCTCTCCTTACCGGAATCTTTACCGCTATCTTTGGATTCAGTCGGTTTGCCTGGTGGTAGTTGTATAGGTTTATTTGGATCAACATATTGCTGTTGTTGTTGTAATCTTGAATAGTGTAATTGCTTTATACGAACAGAAGTCCCTATCATTGAACCCGTCCTTATTTTGGACCTAAACCCATGATTTATCAAACTTTTGAGCATCTTGACTTCCTGCTTAACACACTTCCTCTAGTAATGAAAGCTCATAATGTCGTTTGACAGCTTGTTCATGAATTTATTTCAATAGTCAACGCCTGCCCCATCGGATTTGAAAGGTTGGTGTTTGGATGTTGTGCGTGGCGCGAACCAGGTCTCAGATCGCTTATGATAACCAAAATTAAAAGTCGCTATACAAATTATTGAAGTCATAATGATATTAATACATTTATTATTCGTTCTGTTATTCATTAAAAGTGTTTGATGTCCTAATTGTTCTAGGCCAAGAATCCATAATCATCATTATTTGTCCAAAATTCTTCAACAGGTACATTCCATAGATAATTATCTAAATTTGTTGAACCATTACCATTTTGATGATTTCCAACTGAACCCGATCCATTCAATATAATATTTCTTTGATTATTCTTATTATTATAATCAAATAATGAGGCTGTACTGATTGGTGGTCCACCACTTTCTCCTGTCCATACGGAAATGTTATTAATCATTGTGTTTGTACGACCATTGAATGGTGTGAATTCCACTGGGAAATATTGCTGTTGTTGAGCATTTTGTTGCTGTTGTTGAGGTTGCTGTTGTTGAGGTTGTAGGAGGTTTTGTTGATGTTGGGTAGAAGCAGATGTTTGAGATGAAGTGGATAATGGTGCAGAATGACCAGACATTTGAGACTGTTGAGATATTGGTGATTGATGGTTATAAATACCTGGATATGACAAAGGTGAAAATGTTAAATCTTCATCAAGTTTTTGTTTCTTCAAAGCTGGTTGTTGTGGCTGAGGGATCATAGATTGTGGAGTTCTAGAAACTGGAATATTTGGTGGAGTTTCAGCTTTTAAAGGTGGTGAATTGATTAATAAATGTGATAAACTTTTCGGAACAACATTTTTCTGTAATTGACCTTGTTTTCTTTTTCTTTCAGCTTGTTCGAATTTTTCCTCATCAGAACTTGCACTATTATAATGTGGCATTGTTGGAGCTAAGGACCCATTTTGTTCATGAATTGATCTTCTGAAAATAGCTGGTGGCATACCAGGTTCATTTGAGTTATAAATCAATTCACTTGAATCAGGACCACATCTTTCAATCAAGTTTGTGATTGTAGCAGTCATCAATTGATCAAAAGTATCTCTAAAGATTAATGCAAATTTTGAACGTTCAGCCATAACATAAAGACAAATAGAGCACGCTCTTAAATCATTCAATCCATTGAATAAAGCTTCAGAAACTGTTGGTCTTGTATGTTTTGAAACATCACCAAGAGCTTTTCTTTTCAAATCATCTTTATTTCTAGCCAACCATAAACAATAAACTAATGTAACACCAGCAACGAAAACAGTATGAATTGCAGTAGTTGAATGTCCAAAGACTGTCTTTTCATGGAAAACTTTAAATAATTGACAAATTTGACCTGCAGCAGCTTGACATTCTCTAAATAATTTATCCATTGGATCCATTAATTCTAAAAATGGTTGAATTAAAAGACGCACTGAACGATAATAATATAATCTTAGGGTCTCATTTTCGATACCATTTGAAAACCCTTCACAATTACCTCTCCATATTTCCAATTCTTGGAAAAAAGTTTCAACTAATGGTAATTGATCTTTATGAATAGTTTGAGAATCATCATTAGTTGCTGAACCATGTTTCCCCACAATGTTGAATTTTTCCACAAATCTTGACTCAATTCTTCTTAATTTAATAGATTGATTAATGAAGATTGTATTACTTGGATGTTTTGCCTTTGATGGCTCAAATTCAAACAATGGTAAATCTATATCAACTTCATTTTCTGGTAAACTATAAGGTTTCCCCACTGCAATGGTAATCATTCTTTCCAGTAAGTAAACACACCACCATAATCTCATTTTGATGACTCTTTCTTTAGCATTCAAAGTAGCATAAGTTGCAGCTTTATTTAATCCCATTTCAACACATAATTTCAAAGAATCCTTGATGATTTCATAAAGACAGACAGAATCTCTATCAGTTCTAATCAAATAAAGCACAGCCAATGTTAAAATTTCAATTTTTTGATAATTATTCAATTGTGAAACTTTTGTAATATGCCTTATAGCGGTTGCAAAATATCTATCAGGTGGAGGGCCATTATATTTCCCAGTTGTCATGTGTAAACAAGAACTTATAGCAAAGATCATCCACATTCTGCAGCAACAATAATGAAAAGAATCATTATTATTCATATATCCTGATAAATTGTTTGTAACATAAGCATTATGAAATTCGAAAATCTCTTCTTCATCTAATAATGGATATTTGAATTGTAACCTTGTAAAATGAATATCTAGAAAAGCTCTTGATAATTTTTCATCAAATTCGAAAACTGGATCAAAATTTAAAAATTCTTTTAAACTATATTTAGCAAATAATGAATTTGAATAATCAGTTGAATCTATTGATAAATATGCAGATTTTTTCGAAAGTTCATCAGTAGGAATAGGTAATTTTCTATTTGTTGGAATGGGTATGATTTTATTATCCACTGTTGGTTGTGATTGTGGTGGGAAATCATTTGTTGATGAACCAGGTGGGTTATTCCCCAAGAATGGTGATAATTTCTTATACTTGAAGTTTTTCTTTGAAGTACCATTTTCAGCATCAATAACAATATTATTTGCATCTAAAATTTTCTCTAAAAATTTGATTTTCTTCTCCAGCATTATAGTATATTCATCCTTTTCAGGGACTTTAACATTATATTTTGCGGGCTGGATACATTTAACACCAGCTTTGATACAAGTTGTACATGAAGGCAATCTATGATCACATTTTTGTTTTCTTTTTTGACAAAGTAGACATGAAGTGGAACGACCTTTCTTGTCGTGTGGGTTTCTGAAAGCGCCTGCTGAACCGCTTGATGAACTAGCTGGAGTTGCCGCTGAGCTCTCTATTGAAGATGTTGTGGAAGCCGGTGAGTTGATGCTCTCAGCAATAACCGTAGCTTTTTGTTTAGCCATCGTTAAAGTTGATATGATGAACTATAGAATGGTGTTTGGGATGGTAGCGCCGTGTGTAGCCAGGTAGTTGGTGGTATTGGGAAGAGTGTGTGGTTGTGTCAAGGGTTGTTCTTGTCGTTGTCCTAAATACGTTTGTTGATTTGGGTTTTTTTTCCTTCTTGTTGATGATGAAGCCAAAGTCTGGAGTAGTGGAAACGAAAAGAAACTTGTAGTGTAACTCCGTCTAGTGATCAACAGTCGTTAGTGGAGGTGATGGGTTCTGGAGGGTACGCGTATAGGCTCTGGGGGAAGTATCAAGACTTGTCAGACACCTCTGTTGCAACCGTTCGAGTGCTTGATCTAAACAGACTAGTTTAACTTTGACCACAGCTGCCTTGAAACGATTTCTACTGGTCTTTCAAAATTCTCTTTTTTTTTCTACATATTCGCTTTCTTGGTGGGGCTGTTGACCGCTATTATGTAAGCGAGAATTCTACAAATATTGGAATCGAGTTATACAGCCAACTAGAGTTCAATGAAGAGTATTCTTTTGGATAAAGATCCTGTGATCCTTTATATTAGAGTGCCACTGTCTTTTAAACCTTCATTGCCCTTTAAAAGCTTGTTGTTGATGAGTTTTCATGGTGCTTCACTTAAGCGCGATTCAGCATATAATTTTTTCTACACATGACTCGATTTTAAAAGCTCAACTCGAAAGAGGAGCTAGGGCCATTTCTGTTGGGTTTTAGTTGAATCAAGTTGTTGAAGATGGCTTTGAAATGATCTGATGCTAATGGTTAAATAGTCGAAGCGTTGATATAGTTTCAACTACGTTTACGCAAGATCTCTGGAGTTCAGGGGAAAGATGGAAGGACTCCTATTTGCTGTGCGCTGGAGACCGAACAAGATATGGTTGAACAGGAACAAAAAACCCTGCACCGAAGTTGGAACAATGTATGGGGCAGGTAGGCTGCACTGGTGAACTAGACATAAGGCTGAAACGCTGAAACTCACGGTTGGTCAAAGCTCAATGGTGATACCAGTTTTAAATTTCAAGTGTATATTTCTTTAATTCTCAAAGACAGCTAATTAATTTTTGGTATGTTCATCTCGCCGATGCAAGTTGGCTTAACTCTTTGACAGGCTGACTCCTTAAACTTCTGCAAATTTCAACATGAGCCTCTTGGACGTACAGGCATAGAGCGAACCTAATCGGTTGAACTTGGGGCCTTGAGATTAGACAGATAACATTCTCTACTCATTAACTACATGTTGTTATTTACCGACGTTATCCGCTTGTTGATGTTTTTTTGTGTGTACAATATATTCGGTCTTAGAAACAACTTTGAACAACGATAAAACAATCAATCAATTCAGTTGGTACTGCTAGAAGATCTAGTTGCAGAGGTAATGCAACTAATGTGCAGCAGTATTGACACCACGTTGTGTCTATTGTACAGTATGATTCTACTGAAAGTGCTTGCTACTTGTGGTATCCATGCTTCTTATCAAAACCAGCTATAACTTACATCTCGAGCTGAAAATTAACCAAATACATGCTCTTTGCAGGTTTACAACAGTGTTTTGAAAGTGATTGAGTAGCTACTAGTTTTGCTTCATGAGCAATTCGTTGGTCTACTACCAAATTTCTTAAAATACGCTTCCTTGAAGTGTTCGCGTCGCGCTTTGGTTTTTCGTTTTTCTTCTCGAGTACTCCTAACCGCTACAACAAAAGCATTAATGCAATAGTGTCTTGTGTCTTGTTCTAGGTACAGCGCATTGAGGACTTGTCGACTCTTTTAGTTGAAGTTGACGCTGATGCTAATAAGTTCAGGGGGCAAAGCTTGGAGGGTGAAGGCAAAACCTTGATTGTTGCGTCACATTACAGTGGTGAATAGATCAGGATATGAGTTCTTGAAGCTTTGTCAAAAACAGCACAAATTGTTATGATTACTACTCAAAAACTAGAATAACGGATAGAGATCAATAAGGTGCTTTTGGAGAAAGTGACATTTCACCTGGTCACTTGAGAAATGAAGTGTCATTTCGATGTTCAATCAGTGAAAAAATTTAACATTTTGCAGCCAATGTAACACTCGAAGAACCACCACAGTTCAACGGTTTTGATAAAATAAACTGCCAAGAGAATAATCCAATTTAGAGCAAATTAATTAAAGTTGAAGGTTTGAATATCAATCAAAACCTGGTCATGATGATACGCTCATATACATTGAGTGAAGACAACACATACACCAGATACCTTTAGAACTACACTGTTTATACGAGCAGAACAAGAGGGACTCAATGGCTCATATATTTTTGCATGGTTTCAAGCCATAAACTACACAACTTCATTGGAAACGATAGATGAAATAATCATTTAGAATTGAGACCTATCATCATGTGTCAGTACTACAGGAATGAAATTTAACGTAATCGACAAAAACATTTGAAACGTGCAGCCCGCATAATGTATTTCAAACAAATAACAAGAGTTCATTGGCAAGCCTCCTCACTATTCAAGTCGTATAGCTGAGCGTTTGTAGAAACATTGAGTTTTTGAGATATAGATAGATCAACTTTCGCGAAATCAGTATGTTGCACCTCTAAAGTGAGGTTTTGATTTTTGATACCGATATAGCTTACAATTCCTCGATTTTTTCTGTGAATTGAGTGTAACATATTTCACCAAATGAGTGGATCCTTGTTGGCTTTTAGGAAAACATGAATAGGGCCATGAAAGGCAGATCGTATCGAGATTCGATAACAGTTTCTCTAATGACTCAGAAAGTGTCTACAATATACAACTTTAAGCTACAATTTTCGTGCTTTCTTGACTGGTAATAAGGCTGTATATAGCAGTTTAGCACAGTCATCACATTCAAAAGTAAGGACCGAGAATCTGTATATGATCTTTAACGAATCGAACAAAGTACATGATGTTGTTGAAAACTGTTTTCAGATTTTTATGGCCGTAAAGATCCTTCCTATTACGTAATAAAGTCCGCTATTAACCAGAATTTATCGTTTAAGCCATGTACTTTCAAGTTTCAACCAATTGATATCGTTTATTTCAATATGCAGCAGTTTACAAGAGCAATTTGATTCTACAAGTGCTAATCCTTCAAACTTAAAAGTACGTTATCATCAATTGGTTCACGGTCATAGCGGTTTAGTTCAACCTCTTGGAATTCCAGTTATTCATGAAGAGACTATAAATTGAAGGATGATTCCCTCTTCATCTCTTCAAAATTGTTTACCTCTCATCATCACTCAAAGCTTCACACTCAACAAGCTCATTACAATGTCCAAATTAACTCCAACTTCCACTTTAACTCTTAATAATGGTTACAAAATCCCAATCACAGGATTTGGTGTTTTCCAAACTGAGGTTCAAGAAACCTATGACATCGTTTATAAGGCTTTAGAAACTGGATATAGACACATTGATTCTGCAATTTTCTATCACAATGAACAACAAGTTGGTGATGCAATTCTTCAATTCTTGAAAGATCATCCAGAATTTAAAAGATCAGATATCTTTTATACAACTAAAGTTGCCTTTGCTGCTGATTATGAAACTGCTAAAAAGGCCATTCATGGTTCTTTTGAAAAAGTTAAAGGTTTAGGTTATATTGATCTTTTCTTGAATCATTCATCACTTCCAGATAAAACTGGTAGGTTGGGAACTTGGAAGGCATTGCAGGAAGCTGTTGATGAAGGTCTTGTCCGCTCAATTGGTGTTTCGAATTATGGTACCCATCATTTAGATGAATTATATGGTTGGGATGGACTCAAAATCAAACCAGTTGTTAATCAAGTTGAATTACATCCTTGGTTACCAAGAAAGGACTTGCAAGAATATGCTAAAAAACACAATTACATCTTGGAAGCTTATTCTCCATTAACTCAAGCTAAGAAATTGGATGCTCCTGAATTGGTTTCGATTGCTAAAAAGCATAACGTTTCAACTGCTCAAGTTTTGTTAAGATGGTCTTATGATCAAGGTTTCTTACCTTTACCAAAAACTGTCAATCCTAAAAGATTATTGCCAAATTTGACCGTATTGGATGATGTTGAATTGGACCAAGAAGATTTAGCCAATCTGGACTTCCCAGATAGTTATGAAGTTTTAACTTGGGATCCAACTACTTTCCATGATGGTGATGAATTTAACTACCCAGGTTAAAATTTGTATTTGATAATTGCTGACGTTATGAATCAGTGTGTTGACGAATTTTATTTTCTAACTCAATTGCTCTTGTTCGGGGACGTACCAGCACAATGTAGTGTTTAACAATTAAAGGTGTGATGGGCTAAACCCCCAAGCCCCAAAATATATATATTCCTTTCAATTTCCCAGAATATCCTTCTTTCTTTGTACTACTAATTCAACCTATTATCCTTCATATATACACAAAGATGGCAATCCACGTTGAAAAAGACACACTATACACCCTAAACAATGGTCAAAAGATCCCAGTCTCAGGATTCGGATTGTATCAAACACCACCAGATCAAACATTTGAATTGACTTACGAAGCTTTGAAAGCTGGGTATCGTCAAATTGATAGTGCAAAATTATATGAGAATGAACTAGAATCAGCTCAAGGTATCGGAAAATTCCTCAAGGATTATCCAAATGTTCCAAGATCTGAAATCTTTTACACAACAAAATTGTTCAATGATGCACATGGTTATGAAAATGCAAAAAAGGGCATTCAAGAATCACTAGACCGTGTTGAATCTCATATTGGATATATTGATTTATTATTGATTCATACTCCAATTGCTGATAAAGAAAGAAGATTAGGAACTTGGAAAGCCTTACAAGAAGTTGTTGAAACTGGTAAAGTTAAATCAATTGGTGTTTCAAACTATGGTACAAAGCATTTAGATGAATTATATTCATGGGATGGATTGAAAATTAAACCCGTTGTTGATCAAGTTGAATTACATCCTTGGTTACCAAGAAAGGACCTACAAGAATATGCCAAAAAGTATGATTTCTATCTTCAGGCTTATGCTCCATTAACACAAGGCCAAAAATTTGAAGATCCAGATGTCTCTGCAATTGCCAAAAAACATGGATATAGTGGACCTGAAGTCTTATTAGCTTGGTCTTATTATCAAGGTTTTATCCCAATCGCTAAGACTGCAACTGTTAAAAGAATTGAGCCAAACTATACAACTTTGGATAGAGTTAAACTAGATGAGGAAGATTTGGCAAAGTTGAATAAACCAAACAGTTATGAAGTCTTAACATATTGGGATCCAACTGTTTTCAAGGATGGTGAAGAGAATGAAAAGAAATGGCAAATTTGATTTGACATAATATATACATGAAACTTGCTATTATTCAAGAAGCTGTACCTTTGTAAATTCGTGTTTTCTTAATTGCTCTTGTTTGACGCTAAACATCTTAAAAACAATTGTCGGCTATTCGCCCCACAAGTAAAAACCACAGGTAAGGTTAGTCACCCATTTAAAATGTCAGACTCCACCTTTTTGTGATTTTTCTACAACTTTGTAACTGATAAATTAAACAAGCATTTATTATCGCTTATATTTGTCCAGTATTTGCCATCGTGAATATTAATATGACTGGTTGAATAGAAAAAAAATAGATATATCGTAAAGATATAACCAAATCAAAGAAAAAACATGCCAAAGAATCTCGAAATCAAAACCAATGGGTATAATATAATCAAATAAAAATTGAAGAAGTAATAACCTCTAAGAAAACAAAAAAATATTTCAATTGTTGAGCCTCGAAAACAAGATCAAATCAATCTAACATGAAATATGAAACGAAAACCATGAAATGTTGAGCCAAAGTAAGAAGAAAATGCACCAATCATATCAAGAAATGAAAAATAATAAAAATAAATTCAAGAATGAGAACCATTCAATGCACTTAAAAATCAATCAATCTATCAAATTAAAAGATCAAAACAAAGACAAATGAGCAGAAGGTAACAAACCAGTTGTTGAAGTTAGCAACACCAGCGGCCTCATAACTTGAGATGCTTGGAGCAGATGATGAACCACCGGCTGAAGCAGATTGTAATGTTGGAGCAGCAGCACCAGATGTAGTGCCTGCTGGAGCAGCTGAGGTGGTTGGTTTTGGACCAGTTGCTGATCCATTGTTACCATTACCAGAGCCAGATCCATTATTACCAGATCCGTTACCAGCAGCATTACCATTACCATTGTTACCTGATCCTGATCCTGATCCTGATCCTGATCCATTGCCGTTACCATTGTTACCTGAACCTGAACCTGAACCTGAACCTGAACCATTGTTCCCTGAGCTTGAGCCAGTGCCAGTTGGAGCAGTGATTGGATAAGTAGTAGTACCAGTAGCAAATTGGCCACCAGTAGTTGTTGTTGGGAAGAAACTGACTAAACCAGTGGATGAAGAGCCATTATCACCTGTGAAAGTAGTTGTGTATGGTGATGGAACAGTCAATGGAATTGTAGTAGTACCAGTAGCGAATGAGCCTTGTTCACTGGTTGGGTAGAAACTAACGATACCAGTAGATGATGAGCCATTATCACCTGTGTAAGTGGTTGTGTAAGGAGATGGGACGGTGTGATCCTGTGAAGGAGTTGGAGCACCATTACCATTACCATTACCGTTACCACCATTACCACCGTTACCATTACCAGTTGATGAAGCACCAGTGTTGGTAGCAGTGTTGGAGCCATTACCACCGTTACCACCATTACCGTTACCATTACCAGTTGATGAAGCACCAGTGTTAGAGCCAGTGTTGGATCCATTACCACCGTTACCACCATTACCAGTTGATGAAGCACCTGTGTTTGTAGCAGTGTTGGAGCCATTACCACCGTTACCACCATTACCAGTTGATGAAGCACCTGTGTTTGTAGCAGTGTTGGAGCCAGTGTTGGATCCATTACCACCATTACCACCGTTACCACTACCAGTTGATGAAGCACCTGTGTTAGAGTCTGTGTTAGAGCCAGTACCAGTAGCTGTGTTGGTAGCTGAGCCAGTGTTAGAACCAGAGCCAGTAGCTGTGTTGGTAGCAGATCCAGTATTGGTAGCAGTAGCTGATGAACTTGAGGTTGGAGCAGATGATGAGTCTGTAGCTGAGCTTGAAGCTGGAGCAGATGACGATTCTGTAGCAGAGCTTGAAGCTGGAGCAGATGACGATTCTGTAGCTGAGCTTGAAGCTGGAGCAGATGATGATTCTGTAGCTGATGAGGAGGCTGGAACAGAAGATGATTCTGTAGCAGATGAGGTTGCTGGAGCAGATGATGATTCTGTAGCTGATGAGGAGGCTGGAGCTGATGATGATTCTGTAGCAGATGATGGAGCTGGAGCTGATGATGATTCTGTAGCTGAGCTTGAAGCTGGGGCAGATGATGACTCTGT